GCTACCCCTTGAGGAAATTCTAATTTCCAGGTTGCTGTTAACTCTGATCTCTTCCTAAAGCATCCCTAATACCTGCATGAGTAACTGAGTGACTGCGAGGGTACCACCCTGCTATGCACGCACAGCACAAAACTAGCCTCAAGGAAACAGGCTGAACTAATCCAGGGCCAGCCTTACTCCGGCCACAGTGATGTACTTCCAAGTTCCCGCCAGAAAATAAGAACCAGAGCCGCTAACCGCCTAATTACCACGCTACTACCTACAGACTGATTAAATTGGTCCTCATGCTGAGTTGAAAGCATAATTTCCTGGTCCATCAAATTATTCCAGTGAAAGAGGTGAGCACCTCATGCGGTTTGTGGCCACAGATGCCCACCGGCAGCTTTGTCATTCAAATCCTGAGGGGTGGACAGCAATGGAACCATTATCCATCATACCTTAAGAGATGTTGTGATTCCCTCCCCGCCAATGCCTCAAAGTTTCATCAGTCCTTCCTGGGGCAACTTACCTGTTTTCCTCCTATGCCCAAACGCCCACTGGTCAAATGGCAGGTCTCCATGCGAGCTAAACGAAGCGCTATGCTGGTTTTTAGCCATTTCCTGTGGCGTGTCTATCTCAGTTCGGAGCACATTTTCAGCACAGGGAGACACATGCACCATTTCCGAAGTCGGTAGGAAACGCTTGCAGAAACCCGTGCTGAAAACGTACCCGGTCTGGGGTTTTGTGTGTGTGTGTGTGTTGCGTGTGGCTGCAGTGGGTTGTGTGCTGCCTTTTGCTGGTGTTCATCCTGGAATTCAAGCCCATGAAGGCCTTGAATGCTCAAAAGCCGCAGCAGCTGTCTTTTGTGCGAAGAGGTATATATAGATATATATATAGATATAAAAAAGAATAGCTCACTCGATCCTTCCCCGCCAGGAATAGGGGGATTCTCCCAGAGCGACATCCATTGCCGGCAATGGACGCACCAAAATTACGTCGGCATCAATGAGTTAGCCACCTCTGTCCTCTCTTTTTCCACCTATTATATTTCTCATGCATCATCCAGCTTCCCAACCATCTTCCTGCTTTCTTCACAGTACGCACGCTACGTTCTCTCCTTTCTTCAGGGCGGAGTTGAAAATGGAGTTGAGAAAAGGAGACTCATGGTCAGCTGGGGATGATGTTAACAAGCTCCTGGCTGCCCTGAGAAGCTGGATGGAAATGGTTGAAATTACTACAAAGGGGTCAGCATCAAGAGGTCGGGAAGGACATAGCTTTAGGTTACAAGCTTTCCACACCCTCCCGCCCAATCAGTCTACGCTACATAGATGACCAGCACTCCAGACTAATATTACGGGGTTGGAAGACCCTAAAGTAACCAGCATCAATCGGTCTTGGCATGGAACGTGTACAAATGGGCTCCGTGTTTATCTCAGAGACAACAGGTCCCAAATGTTTTCTTGCATCAGGTAAAAAAAACTATGCTGTTTACAGGCATCTCTTCCGAGCATAAATGCGCTGGAGGTTTTTAAAAAAGCAGTTAATGTCAGACAGAAGCAGCTAACACTTAGCGCAATCGTAATGCAGTGCAGGACAGATTAAATTCAGTGTTGTGATACAGCAGCTCCCAAACACAGGAATCTAAAAAGGAGGACTATTGTTTTTAATGGATGGGTGGAAGGAAGGGGCTTGGTTTAGGCTATAGGGATGCTACTGCACTGAGCACGAGATCAGAATCTATGTCCGCTAGATCAATATATGTAATACTGGCAGCAATATTTTAAACTATGTATTGACCTTCTCAATATTATGTGATGTGATCTGCAACAGAAAGGGCTTAAAAATCCAAAACAGTGACTTTTGATGGATAATGATTCCATAGCTGACCACAGATGTGAGCAAACTGCTCTTGAGTCGGGGCTATCCCAAAAGGGGAGAGGGAGAGTAGAAAGATAACTTAGCAAGAAAATTATGATTTCATGCTAACCCCACCATGAATCTTCACAAGATGACGTATCTAAGACACAACTGAACAACAATTAGGTTTTTGATTTGTTTAGTTTTTTTTTTTTTACAACTAATTTGTATTTTCTTTTCAATCCTCAGCACCAGGGCATAGACTGACAAGTAGGTATGGGGGATTAAAATCAAACACAAAGCCCCAAATCTAGACAAATTAAGGAGTTGCTGATATGAACATTATTCTACTTGATGTGAGAAGGGAGTGGCTACATACTCACAATGACCTCTCCCTGCATAAAAGTGGCAGGCACTGGGTTCATATATGCCCAGGAGCTCCATGAAGTGGTTGAATGATACTCTGGGATTTCGATCTAGGCATGGGAAGCAGATCGGGGGGGGGGGGGGCTCCTGGGTACATGGAAACCAGTATTGCACTAAGACTGCATACACTTAAAGCACATTTTCCCCTCAAAGGATCATTGGAACCCCTGGCACAACTACAATTCCCAGCACCCTTTTAAAATACAGTCGCCAGGATTCTTTGGGGAGGTAAAATGTGTTTTAAATGTATGGTGCGTGCAGCCTGTCTCCAAATCTCCATCCTGGGGACAGAGCAGAACAAGGCCAACAGTGTGACGCGGCAGCTAAAAAAGCCAATGCATTCTGGGCTGCATCAATAGGAGTATAGCATCTAGATCAAGGGAAGTAATAGTGCCACTGTATTCTGCTCTGGTGAGACCTCACCTGGAGTACTGTGTCCAGTTCTGGGCACCACAATTCAAGAAGGACACTGACAAACTGGAACGTGTCCAGAGGAGGGCAACCAAAATGGTCAAAGGCCTGGAAACGATGCCTTATGAGGAACGGCTAAGGGAGCTGGGCATGTTTAGCCTGGAGAAGAGGAGGTTAAGGGGTGATATGATAGCCATGTTCAAATATATAAAAGGATGTCCTATAGAGGAGGGAGAAAGGTTGTTTTCTGCTGCTCCAGAGAAGCGGACACGGAGCAATGGATCCAAACTACAAGAAAGAAGATTCCACCTAAGCATTAGGAAGAACTTCCTGACAGTAAGAGCTGTTTGACAGTGGAATTTGCTGCCAAGGAGTGTGGTGGAGTCTCCTTCTTTGGAGGTCTTTAAGCAGAGGCTTGACAACCATATGTCAGGAGTGCTCTGATGGTGTTTCCTGCTTGGCAGGGGGTTGGACTCGATGGCCCTTGTGGTCTCTTCCAACTCTATGATTCTATGATTCTAAGGTGCAAGCAAGCCCAAGGCCTGCTCCCTTTTCTAGGTACAGAAAAAGATTCTCAGAGGCAAAGCCTACGCCCATTCAAGATGCAATATATACTGGGCATACTCTAGGCAGAAAGAACAAGTGGCACAAACTTATTTTTACACAGACGACACTTGACAGCCTGGCATATATTATTAGTTATCCATCTTGTTGTTACTTCTCTCATTACACTGAAAGAATCAAGTTTTTGTTTTTTTAATCCCACACTCATCTTGCAAATACAGGTCAAGTTCTTCAGAGAATCAGGGCTATTTCTTTTTTAAAAGCCCCTTACTTTGTACAAACCCCCCTCTCCTGACCTATCTGTATCAACACACACACACACGGACCAAGTATTGTAAAATGCTTCCTGAAGGACACAGAGGAAATGGCATGATTTCTTTGCATCTACCGCACTTCAAAAATAATCACTTGAGCAAATCTCCAGATGGAATCATGCCCGGTTTTAGAAGTGGGCCGATCTTAAGTTGTGTGAATCCTGCTGAGTATTTTTCTTAGGAATTCCAACAAGGCAAAGGTTTAGGAAAAGGATGCTGGCCTATCCTGCCTGGTCTCTGGATTCCAATGTAACTCAGCCGGATGGGTGGGGTATAAATAATAAATTATTATTATTAATTATTATAATTTGTCTTTCTCGGCCCTAAGTACCACTGAATCTACCCACATATATCCTTGTAGGAAGAACAAAGGAGCTAATAAGACTGTCCACTGATAAAGAAGAGAGGGGCTAACTGGAGAAATTGCTACTCTGCTTCTGTTTTCTTACGTGGTAGCTAATCTAGCCAAACGAAGAGTAGTACCTACTGGCGGTTTGAATCTTTTGGCATCTCAGAGACAACAGGTACAAAGAGGTCTCACTGTGGCCTGCCAACCCCACTATCCTTCCTCCCACCAGGCTAATAAAAAAAGGCAGCAAAACATCACACAAAACTCTCAGTAGCATGCCTGTTTCCAGGCTAACTATTCTTGCAAAAAAAGCATAACAGGATAGCAGCATTTCTCAAAGGTTTCACAGCAGACAGCCTATGTTTTTCGGAACAGGTGATAATTCACTTTTCTGCCAAACAGATTCAAATCGCTGTTACATATTCTTGTGACTTTGATTTTTAGCAGAAAAATTTGTTGACTGTTTCATTCATTAGCAGCTAGTTGCACTGGTCTGTAAACTAGTGAGGGCACATCAGGAAATTTTGGGTCAAAGACGACCAATACTAAATTAGTGGAAGAAATGCTCTCTTTGCAAAGTTGAAGTCTATCTCTTTTGCTAACCATCTAATTAACTGCCAGTTAACGAAGTGTAGGCAGTTTTGCTTCAAAAGGAAAAACAGAATACTTGTGGAAAGCTTTTGGTCAAATCATTTTCTAATGGAAGGTATTTCCCCTAGTTTGTCATTGAACAACAAATCCCGCCACCCTTTCCAATCCAAATTTTACCAAGCAGGGCCCATAGATGCAACTTTTGTGAATAGAGGATACAAACTGCATAATTAATCCATTTCCCAGTCTTCACAGTTTGCTGATCATTCAACACTACTGGCTAATAGGGTGGGTGTGAGGAGAAAAGGTCACAATTATGCTTATAAGGTTTTCTCTACAAAAAAAAGTTTTAGCCTGGCCCATTTGGATTTCCCGCTAAAAGAAAAAGAGGAAATCTGCAGCCGTTCAGAATACACACACACTCTGCACAAGAGAAACAAGTCAACTGTGAGAAACCTCCATTACCTCTAAACGATTAAAAAGCATCTGCTACAGAGAAGCCAACTTACTTTTAGGTCTTTCCAGCAATCTAGAAGCTTGGTCGCCAAATCACTTGCATCTATTATCTTATCGGTCTGTTCTTGACTCCTCTCGCTCTCCACATCTGACACGCCTTCCTCTTCATCTTGAGAGGGTGTTTCTGCAGCCAAAGATTCCTCCAGCTTTGCAGCGGAGGTCTCCTTCATCTCTGTCTCGGGCTCCACATCCTGCTCGGCAGCTTGAGATTTGCTGGTGTCTGCTGGGACCTCGGCGGCAGCATCCTTGCCAGCTTCCTGCTGGGGTGGCTGCTCCTCTGCCGTCTCTGTTGGGACACTGTCTGGATGCTCAAGGTCCTCCTTGCCCTCCTTCAGCTCAATCTCGCTGGTCGTATCGGAGATGGCGCTGTCCATGCTGTTCTCACTTATGATCTTGAGCTTCCGGAAAGAAAGCTTCTTGGGCGTGTCCGTGTCCCCCTCCACGCTGGGCTTAGCGGAAGGATCGGGCGTGTTGAGTGGAGTATGAGCCCGAGATGTGTTCTCACTCGAATAACCATCTCCCTCGCTGAGATGTGGAATAGCGGATTTAGTCTGCGCCCAGCGCTGGATAATGGGAAGCACTTTGCTCTCCTCCAACATGTTTTTATTGGGAATAGGCAAAAGCTCCAAAGTCTTCATAATCTGATCACAGAACATGAAAGGAGAATTGTAAACTTTCAGGAATGGTCGGTTTGATTGAAGTTAGATTTGGCGACAGAAGTACTGTTTTGGGGGGGCAGGGGGCGGGCGGGTGTGGGGGACTCCCTGGTCCTGAATGGGGTAACTGTGCCCCTGAAGGACCAGGTGCGCAGCCTGGGAGTCATTTTGGACTCACAGCTGTCCATGGAGATACAGGTCAATTCTGTGTCCAGGGCAGCTGTTTACCAGCTCCATCTGGTACGCAGGCTGAGACCCTACCTGCCTGCGGACCGTCTGGCCAGAGTGGTGCATGCTCTAGTTATCTCCCGCTTGGACTACTGCAATGGGGCTACCTTTGAAGGTGATCCAGAAACTGCAATTAATCCAGAATGTGGCAGCAAGACTGGTGACTGGGAGTGGCCGCCGGGACCACATAACACCGGTCCTGAGAGATCTGCATTGGCTTCCAGTACGTTTCCGAGCACAATTCAAAGTGTTGGTGCTGAGCTTGAAAGCCCTAAACGGCCTCGGTCCTGTTTAGCTGAAGGAGCGTCTCCACCCCCATCGTTCTGCCTGGACACTGAGATCCAGCGCCAAGGGCCTTCTGGCGGTTCCCTCATTGCAAGAAGTGAGGTTACAGGGAACCAGACAGAGGGCCTTCTCGGTAGTGGCGCCCGTCCTGTGGAACACCCTCCCTTCAGATGTGAAGGAAATAAGCAGCTATCTTATCTTTAAAAGACATCTGAAGGCAGCCCTGTTTAGGGAAGTTTTTAATATTTAATGCTGTATTGTTTTTACCACTTGATTGGAAGCCGCCCAATAATTACTATTATTATTATGCTCTGCCGACACACTAACTGGGGCTCTATTTAGACTATCCTCCACCTTTGAAGGTTCATGAACAAGCTCCATGGTCAAGTGTCCCCCTCGTTCCCTCTTCCATTTTCTTCTTAGCATTAACCATAATTTACTGTGATGTCCGAATCAGCATAGAAGATCTAACATGTGCCCTTCAAACCAGAAGTCCATTTCAAAGTTGTTTCAGATGTTGGTTTGCAGGGGGAAAGTGCACTAGCCATAATTTGCAGATTTGAATACCATAGCAAATTATGGTTACTGCTAAAAAGGAAAAGGAAGGGAAAGCCATGATTAAACGGGGGGACAGGGGGAGTGCATGATTCCGCAGCTTGTTCCCAATCCTCAAAACCATGGTTTGAAGAAAGTCTGAACTGAACCAGAGTGCCCCTTAAGCAGATGTAGCCTGAAATTTCTGACAACAAATCAGAAAAATAAAATCCCTTTTGGAGGGAAAAGGTTAATTAAATGCCAATGAGCAATTATACAATGCTAGGCATGACTTGAGTAGGTCACATACACAAGAACCAAAATATCTAACAATGTGAGGATGTAAGCAGATCCAGATGGAGGCCTGACCTCTGAAATGACCTCTCTAATTTGGCACTGTTTACATGCCAGATAGAAGGGACACAGGTGGCGCTGTGGGTTAAACCACTGAGCCTAGGACTTGCCGATCAGAAGGTTGGCGATTTGAATCCCCGCGATGGGGTGAGTTCCCATTGCTCGGTCCCTGCTCCTGCCAACCTAGCAGTTCAAAAGCACGTCCAAGTGAAAGTAGATAAATAGGTGGGAAGGTAAACGGCATTTCCATGCGCTGCTCTGGTTCGCCAGAAGCGGCTTAGTCCTGCTAGCCACATGACCCGGAAGCTGTACGCCGGCTCCCTTGGCCAATAAAGCAAGATGAGCGCCGCAACCCCAGAGTCAGTCACGACTGGACCTAACGGTCAGGGGTCCCTTTACCTTTTTTACATGCCAGATACACACTACAGCAATTGCTCGTGTCTCTTCCAAATAAAAGCACAACCACAGATGTGCATTCAAAAATCCAGGCTCTGAACTGTGGAAATACACCTCTGCACTGGGAACTATAATGATAGTTTACTTGCACAATCTTTATAGCATCCAGTTTTATTCCCCCCCCCCAAATTGTTTTGCTAGTGAGTGGTACGGTAGAGAGCAATAGGCAGGGTCACAGATGTTGGGAATAATTAGCCAGAAGTAGAACCGAGAATGGAAAATAGCTTCCGAATCTCCACCCCACACTGACCACAAGATTCTTAGAACGGCGAATGATTTCCTCACAAATTGGCTTGAATGGGAGAAGCCATAAAGAAACCAGCGACAAGGAACTAAAGTTAGAAGCTTGACTTAACTCTTGCGCAGCTATTTTTGAAAACGCAGCAACACAGAAATCCCAGGGCAGCCACTGACCTCTATCTGGAGTTTCAAGTTGTTGGCTATGTTTCCCCTGCCATCACCAAGTTCTGCCATCCAAATCCAGAGAAGGGACAACCCATGACATTCTAAGAACGTCTTCAGGCAGGCCTGGGAGTGAGTATTCTGTGAAGAGAAAGAAGGGGAGCAGGGAGAGAGAATGACCAAGAGACCACACAGCCACGTTTTCACAGTTGCTGCAAACCAGCAAAACTAAAGCAGACAACTACCCAACAAAGCAAAAGAAACACACACACACACACACACACACACACACACACACAGACACACGGCAAGGATGGAGCTACCAGAAGGATGCTGCACATAGCTGTCAACTTACGGATTTGAAAATAAGGGACCAGCAGCCTTGGAAATAAGGGATCAGCAGCCAAAATAAGGGATTTTCAGAGCACAGGTATGTTCGACTTCTGAGCCCCTCCGAGCCAAAGGCAGAAAGCCCAGCCAGCAGCCAAACGAAGCCTCAAGCAGTGGTTCCCACAGCGCAGCAACCCGGCAAAGGGGATGCAGCAAGGAAATCCACCGTCACCTCTCCGCTGGGAAGCGCTGAGCAAAGGCGAGTCCCCAGGCAACGCGGCTGATTTGATCGGCACAAGGCATGCAAGCTCCACCCCCCCAGTCGTTCTTAGACTCCTTATTGGGTGAGCAACGCAGCCAAGCAACACAGCTGGAGCCTCCCTCCTCCCTGGCCGGCAGGGAGGGAGGGAGAGGAGCTGCTTCCTTTGAAACCCGGGAAATTTAAGGGACATCATCAATAAGGGACAGCAGCGGGACACGGCGCTGGGATAAGGGACTGTCCTGCCAAATGCGGGGTGGTTGACAGCTATGATGCTGCACCCAGTATGGCTTGCAAGCTCCTAATAATGGGCATCTGGCTGGCCACTGTGAGAACAGGATGATGGACTAGAATGGCCATTGGCCCAATTCATCAGCCAGACTCCTCTGATCTTCTCATGCTAAAGTCAAAAATCCACCATCATCGGGCAGAACTGCTTCACACCAAGTAACAAACATGTCCATGGTCTGAAGAGCTAAGAATTATTCCGATATAGTTTTCGTGACTTAGATCTGGGAGGCCTCATTGTGTAGCTCTGGGAAACTTGCTCCCTCGGGCAACTGTAAAAAGCAATTTCAAAGGGAGGCTCCAATCTGAAACCGCTGAACGGCAATGCACCCAAAAATCTAATTCTATTCATTTCAGTCTGAATAGAGACCATTGTTTCTTTTCCCACTGAAGGCGTTATTTTACCCAGCAATTCCAAGAGTTTTCTATTGTCAATCGCTGCTAGCTGCAAAAGGTGACTGTGCTCATTGCACGTACATTTTAAGTTCTAATTGCATTTCCACTCTATTCAGCAAAGCTGAATAGATGACCGGGCTAGCTAACCTGCAGCCCACATCCGTGCAGGTGAGCGGAGATGTTTGTGACGGAAAAGCCCAAACTCTGCAATTTGTAACAAGATGGGAGGGCAGGAGGTCTTATGCAGACACAATTTGGTTAGATTGTGCTGGGATCAACAACAGGTTTCTGATTGCACCATGACTGAAGGAACAAAGGAACAGTGGCTGTTCCTCCTTTGAAAACAGAAACACGAGAACTCTTCAGATCTAGCTCCTGCACTAAGGGGAACATACAGGTTCTCTGTAAGACAGAACAGAAGCAATGAAAAATGTGATAGTCCTAATACTAAAAAAGAGGGAGATTAACTTAGATGATGCACTACATAAAACAGTGAATGAAAGTAAAAAAAGGGCATGTAACCCTGCCATAATCAGAATCCCATCTGTAGGTTCAATGACAGATAAAATATCATGAAGTAGGAAATGTGCCCCCTCCCCCAAGCAAGGCTACTTCAATCCCTCAAAACTTCTCAGCCCCAGAATTAAAAGTGAAATATTAAATTAGAATTTATTTAACTTCTTTGCCAACCACTTCCAGGTCAAATAAAAGAAGGAATAATCACCTGTATAAGTTTGAGACAGGTGAGCTTTTGCTCCAGAGTCTCAATTCGCACCATCAGCCGAGACAAGCTGAGAACTTGATTTTTATCTGAAAGTCCTTCTCCGTTTTCCAGGAGTGCCTCTAATTCTCCATCCACCTACCAAAAGCAAAAGAAAAGTTGTACAAAGTACAAGTGCACTTCCCTCCCCCAACCCTTTGCGAATTGGCATTTTATTCGGAAGGAGAGTTTATTTACTAGTGGGAAAGGTTTGGAATAGGTCACACTGGATTTCCAGAGTGCTGAGGTTACAAGTTGCGGAGAGATCAAATGCATCCTAAGCAGGAAGAAACTTGCTTATTCTACAGGGAAGAGAGCTGCAACACAGTTGACCTGCTTGCTCTTTGCATCCAAATGATAAAAACGTACCCTTTCCCTTACAGGGCCAAATTTGTTCAAACTATTTTGCATTTGGGGGGGGGGTTCAGTTTCAAGACAGTGGTCTGAGTCTTTTCCAACCTGATTAATTCTGCAATTCCAGCAAAAGCCACTAATTTAAGACCAGTACAGTGGTACCTCGGCTTACATACGCTTCAGGTTACAGACTCCGCTAACCCAGAAATAGTGCTTCAGGTTAAGAACTTTGCTTCAGGATGAGAACAGAAATTGTGCTCCGGCGGCGCAGCGGCAGCAGGCGGCCCCATTAGCTAAAGTGGTGCTTCAGGTTAAAAACAGTTTCAGGTTAAGTACGGACCTCTGGAACGAATTAAGTACTTAACCTGAGGTACCACTGTACAAACATGCTAAAAAATTGAATTTGGTGAATGATTATTCCAGCAAAAAACAAACAAACAAACCAGAATTTGCACATTACATTTGGAGCATGCCTGACACTCTCCTGCTGCAGCCATAGTCTAAATGTTCCACATCACACACGTGTTCTGAATCATGTGGCTGTTTTCCACCTCTGCAATGGAGGGGCAGCTTTGGCATGGGAAGCTACCGTAAGATGCAAAGAGTCAGGTGTTGCTGATGTGAAGTGGCTCTGGCCATGGGGGTGGGACTACTTTACTGAAAATTAGGTAATTGGGGAGAGTGCTGGCAAGTCCAGAGATGGTGGAGGCAAAACCAGACTACAGTGGTACCTCAGGTTACATATGCTTCAGGTTACATACTCCGCTAACCCAGAAATAGTGCTTCAGATTAAGAACTTTGCTTCAGGTTGAGAAAAGAACTCGTGCTCCGGCGGCGCAGCAGCAGCATTTAGCCCCATTAGCTAAAGTGGCGCTTCAGGTTAAGAACAGTTTCAGGTTAAGTACGGACCTCCAGAACGAATTAAATACGTAACCCAAGGTACCACTGTACAAAGCCACACCCCAGTAAAGGGATCGTAGCTAATGGCCAACACTACTGGACAGATCCGTCCCACTTGCTTTGTGCAGGATGCTACGGCGCTTTTGTGGGCCCAAGTCACTTTGAAAGACAGTAACAGCTATGTGGTTTTGTAGGTTTGGAGCACCTGACTGTCTGAACCCAGCAGAGGATCATGCACCCAGTTCTGCTTTTTGAAGAAGTCACAGGAAGGAATATGAAAATCAGCTGCTGGTTTTCAAAACCTCTCGACCCCAGTGGTACACATGTAAGTCCCACTGCAGAAGAAAACAAAAACAAATCTTCTCCTTCCCCACCCCTTCAACACTTACCGAATCCTTTTTACGAGACCGCTCCTTCTTCATTTTGCCTCCTGCAGCTCTGATGCTGACCCGGTTTTCTCCCCCAAGGTAACCCCGGCAGTTGGCAGAGCCACAGAAACACTTCTGTGCCTCTTTGCTGTTTTGGAAAGAAACACATAGTACGAAAATGAAGTGCTTGAAAATTCCACTGTTATAGAGTTCAGCTCATTGATTGTCCTATTCCATGGCCTCCTTGAAGGCAAAAGCCAGCATTTGTTAAAAACCAGAGCATCCATTTCCAGCTCAAACCCAGAAGTATATAGAAAGGCTTTATAGTGCTCCTGGAAGAATCTTGGGCTTTGTTCAGCTTCTTAGAAAAGAGAGTGACGAAATCAGTTGTACAAATGCTTAACTGCTTTTTCTTACAATGTTTATCTTTCCTATTCAGGTCTTAAGGTAAAGGGTAAAGGGACCCCTGACAGTTAAGTCCAGTCGCGAACGACTCTGGGGTTGTGGCACTCATCTCGCTTTACAGGCCGAGGGAGCCGGAGTTTGTCCGCAGACAGTTTTTCCGGGTCATGTGGCCAGCATGACTAAGCCACTTCTGGAGAACCAGAGCAGCGCACAGAAACACCGTTTACCTTCCCGCTGTAGCGGTACTTATTTATCTACTTGCACTGTGTGCTTTCGAACTGCTAGGTTGGCAGGAGCTGGGACCGAACAACGGGAGCTCACCCTGTTGCAGGGATTCGAACCGCCAACCTTCCGATCAGCAAGTCCAAGCGGCACAGTGGTTTAAACCACAGTGCCACCCATGTCCCTATTATTCAGGTCTTATAGATAAAGGTAAAGGGTAAAGGGACCCCTGACCGTTAGGTCCAGTCGTGGCCGACTCTGGGGTTGAGGCGCTCATCTCGCTTTACTGGCCGAGAGAGCCGGCGTACAGCTTCCAGGTCATGTGGCCAGCAGGACTAAGCCGCTTCTGACGAACCAGAGCAGCGCACGGAAATGCCGTTTACCTTCCCGCTGGAGTGGTACCTATTTATCTACTTGCACTTTGACGTGCTTTCGAACTGCTAGGTTGGCAGGAGCTGGGACTGAGCAACGGGAGCTCACACCGTCGCGGGGATTCGAACCGCCAACCTTCTGATCAGCAAGCCCAAGAGGCTCAGTGGTTTAGACCACAGCGCTACCTAATTAAAGATAAAAGCTCTCTGAGAGGCTTTTGATACTGTTAACCAGAGGTAGGGAATTATGGGTCTTCAAGTTGTTGCTGAACTACAACTCCCATCAGCGCTTGCAATCATTGGCCAATGGCCAGGAATGATCAATGGGATTTTCCTGGAGCTGCAGTGGTTCTGCTCCCATCTTAGGGGCTGGTTTCAGAAAGTGACTGCCTGTTAGCCCCTGGAAAGTGTAATGTGGATGCCACCGGGTCTACCGTCTGGTTTAATATCTACATAAAGCTGCTGAGTGTGGCCATGAGGGGATTTGGAGCAAGGTGTCACCGACACCCTGTTTTTCCCTGTAACATCTGAATCAAGGATGAGGCCAGACCAATAAACTGAAACTGAATCGTGCCAATGAGGAGGCTTTGTGGGTATTCCTGGTCTGGAAGATAGGCCAACTGCCTGCTCTAGATGGGGTTGTACTACAATACAGTGGTGCCTCGCAAGACGAAAAGAATCCATTTCGCGATTCTCTTCGTCTAGCGGTTTTTTCGTCTTGCGAAGCAACCCTATTAGCGGCTACGCGGATTAGCGCTATTAGCGGTTTAGCGGCTATTAAAGGATTAGCGGCTAAGCTGCTAAAAGGCTATTAGCGGCTTAGGAAAAGGGGGGGGAGCGAGAGAAAAAATGCAAGACTAGCAAGATGTTTCGTCTTGCGAAGCAAGCCCATAGGGAAAATTGTCTTGCGAAGCAACTCAGAAACGGAAAACCCTTTCGTCTAGCGGGTTTTCCGTCTTGCGAGGCATTCGTCTTGCGGAGCACCACTGTAAATTCTTTTAAAAATAAAATAAAAGCTAAGCACATTGCTTTCAAATCCGGCCCATGAATTCTATTGAAATACCCACAGGCTGCCCACACATGCTGCAGAAGAATGGATAATTATTGTCACTTGCATTGCCAGAAGTTCAAAACCTGACCTCGAGTTGAACTCCCACCACTACTTCCTTTCACACCACCACCTATTTTTCTTATTTGTTAATTTTCCTTTGCTGATCTCATGTGTGGTTCAGTCTCTACAGCATGCTAGCCATTTATGCAACAGGACAACCAAAAAACGTATTCCAAGCGTACTGCCAAATCTGACGTCTCCAACAAGCACCACTCAGGTTTTAAAGGATTTACAAAATTACGGCACAAAATTATTCCAGTAAAACAGGGTTCAAGGGTAAGCAGATTTTAACTAACTGGAAAACTGAGCCTACGACAGCTCACACATGAAGAGAGTACTTTCGTTACAGCTTGCCCACCCCAGCAATAACAAAATGTTCTCAGGGCAGCTTACAATAAGAAATAAAAGTTAAAAATTCAACACATAAATGACAAACAACTTATGTATTGTTCAAACAACTTTGTTTCCCCCTCTCCCATCAAAATCAGTTAGTTAGAAAATTCCAAAGTTTTCCTTTGCTCTGGTTTTTTATTTTTATTTTAGAGAAAAGTAACTGATTCTCTTTTGGGGAGCATCCACTAAGAGAGAATATTCTACTGTGGTACAACAACGCAATTATGTTATGATTAGGAATATGCACTCTTTTAGAAAACGCACTGTTGTTTTTAACTTCATCCTCGTCATCCACCTTGAACACTCAAGGCGGAGGCGGAAAACGATAATGGAAAAAAACACACCCACACATTACCTCTTCCAAACCAAGTGAGAACAAGAGCAGGGGAAACATGAATGAATCAGCTAATGAGCACCTGACCCCCGTAGTTCAGAAAATATGACCTATGCTTGATTGTGCACAAGATCACTTTATTGGCTTCCGTTCAAGGATAGCCATTTATAAACAACAAATCACGTAAGTCAGGTCAAGACCTACCCATATCTCTGGAACTGGTAGTCAAAGGTTAGCTCTGAGCCTGACGGAACAAGTTTTGTGGTGAAGAAGCCAACCCGCAGCTGTCCATTCACTGTCCACTAAAGTGGGGGGGGGGAGAGAATAAAGATGATTAGAACAATATGTATATTCGTGGACTGTGGGCTCTTGCTGTGGTTCTTTTTAAAGGGCATCTATTCTAGAAAAGGCCCTGTATCTCTGGAGAACTCAGCAAACGCACAAATCTCTATGCCAAGAGAATCCATTTGAAAACATACTTCACACCCAACTTCATTTTAACTGCAGTGCTTGGGAGTTCACAGCACTCCGCTTACATTAGGTATGCTGACGCAAGCTCGTTTTGTCCCCCTTCAGAAATGGATGGTGTTAAGAAACGGCCTTAGTTCCTTTCGGTATTAAAAACCACTTGCACAGCTTTTAAACGGGCGTGCTGTGCTTTGTCTCATCATCTAAAACCGGGGGGGGGGGTGTCCTAAATTGTGCGGGGATCCTCTGTAAGTAGAGAGGTCTCTCTGTTCCACCCAGACACCTGTAAACTCATGGAGGCTTGACACAAGAAAGCGGACGGGCCAGAGGAAATGAACCAATGCTGCCAATTCTCATAGTAAGGTAAAGGGACCCCTGACCATTAGGTCCAGTCGTGGCCAACTCTGGGGTTGCGGTGCTCATCTCGCTTTATTGGCCGAGGGAGCCGGCGTACAGCTTCCGGGTCATGTGGCCAGCATGACGAAGCAGCTTCTGGAGAACCAGAGCAGCGCACGGAAACGCCGTTTACCTTCCTGCCGGAGCGGTACTTATTTATCTACTTGCACTGTGTGCTTTCGAACTGCTAGGTTGGCAGGAGCAGGGACCGAGCAATGAGAGCTCACCCCGTTGCAGGGATTTGAACCGCCGACCTTCTGATCAGCAAGTCCTAGGCTCTGTGGTTTAACCCACAGCACCACCTGCGTCCCAATTCTCGTAGTACACCAGTATAAAGTAAGCAGCACATAGGTAAAGGTAAAGGTACCCCTGCCCATACGGGCCAGTCTTGACAGAATCTAGGGTTGTGCTCCCATCTCACTCAAGAGGCCAGGGGCCAGCGCTGTCCGCAGACACTTCCGGGTCACGTGGCCAGCGTGACATCGCTGCTCTGGCAAGCCAGAGCCGCACACGGAAACGCCGTTTACCTTCCCGCTAGTAAGCGGTCCCTATTTATCTACTTGCACCCGGGGGTGCTTTCGAACTGCTAGGTTGGCAGGCGCTGGGACATAAGCAGCACATAAGCGGCACACAAAACACTACCAAACCATTCTACGTACAAAATCTTATATTAATAATCCAAAAATTGAGAGAGCTATGTACAAGATCTACTATAGAAGCCACAAACAGAAAACTCATTCAAATTGTGTCCAAGAGGAAGATTAAGTCTTTAAAGTTCCTTTAGCCAGGCTCCTGTAGATATCAACAAAGGTAAGTTTGATCAAACAAAGTGTCGGTGATGTTACGCACAAGGGTTAGACAGGATGCCGGCGTTTGTCACCTGTTTCGCCCATGAAGAGTCTTGGGCTTCTTCAGTAAAATCTCTCTCACGGTTTTGATATATTTATAAACATTTACGTCCATATGTTACATTTCTTCTTAGATTAAGTTTCACTATTTAATTTCTTTCTTCAGGAAATTCTCCCTCAAGATTTTGGTGTGTTTACATACATTCAACTTCATATAGCTCTCTCAATTTTTGGATTATTAATGTAAGATTTGGTACGTAGAATGGTTTGGTAGTGTTTTGTGTGCCGCTTATGTGCTGCTTACTTTATACTGGTCTACGACGGGCCAGAGGAGGCAGAGCTTGGTGGTGTAACCCCCCTCCATTCGTCCTCAGGATATTTGTTTATATGCCAAGAAGACAAGCGCCTGAATTGGACTCAGACATGCCTCTGGCCAGGTGATGTTGTCTTTTACGCACCTGGCAGGCCACGTGGCCGCCAAAGCCAATTTCAGTATTCTTACACTGCTTGCTTCTTCAACTCTGTGCGCTTTGAAATAATAAATTCTACACATGTGCACAACTGCTTCTTTGCTCTTTCCTGGCCACCACTGGGCGCATCTTTCAAAGATCTTTTTGCCTGCCCGTGTCACAGCATTAATCTGCTTCTGCTCCTAGGCAATGTATCTCATCATTTCCCGGTATGTCCCATAGACTGCCTCAAGGTCCATAAATAGCAACACCCTAGAGGTCCCAGGCCCTAAGGAAGTTAGATTAGCCTCAACCAGAGCCAGGGCCTTTTCAACACTGGCCCCGGCCTGGTGGAACGTTCTGCCTCATAAGACCAGGGCCCTGCAGGATCTGATTTCTTTCCGCAGGGCGTGTAAGACAGAGTTGTTCTGCCTGGCCTTTGGCTTGGAGCCAATTTGATTCCCTCCCCCTTTCTTTTTTCTTTCTCCTCCTGTGATGAGGCTGCATTTTAATATTTCAATATTTTAATGTTGTATTTTAATCTTGTTTTTAAGTTGGATTCATTCAGCTTGTTTTTATTATTGCTTGTTAGCCGCCCTGAGCCTGGCCTTGACTGGGGAGGGCGGGGTATAAATAAAAATTATTATTATTATTATTATCAAAGCCTTTCCCCACTTGGGATCTCCTCCACCCATCTTCCCTGGCTGACTCAGCCACTGAGCCTTTGGGCAACTTGGCCCTTGGAAGAGGCAACACTTCTTACTCAGAATTCCAGCTCCCCAACACCCTCCCAAGCCTGTGTACAAAAGCACTGTCATCTGCAAACATCTGAATACTGACAGCTTCCCGCCCTGGGCAATAAAATTGTTTGTGAATGCAGTGACCTCACAGCAGTTCAGCCAATGGCACGTGCAAAATGCACATGCCTGAAAAATTAAGGGGGGGGAATAGGAACCGTATTAAAATCTACAAGGAAATTTATCAGCGTGCCTTAACTGACCTAGTTATTTGTATAAAATTTTATTGCCAATGTTTAATATTTGCAAACATGTTTAAAATCATCAAAAGCAAAATTAATTATTATTATTATTATTATTATTATTATTATTATTATTATTAATACCCCGCCCATCTGGCTGGGCTTCCACAGCCACTCTATGCGGCTTCCAAAAAAATATTAAAATACTGCAATACATCAAACGCTAAAAGCTTCCCTAAACAGGGCTGCCTTCAGATGTCTTCTAAAAGTCTGGTAGTTATTGTTCTGAATACAGCATATGTGAATGTCATTCAGTTATCTAAGTTTTAGAATTGATTACTGTAATGCATTCTAAGTGGGGCTACCCTGAAGACTGTCTAAAAAATGCCACTAGTCCTGAAAGTGACTGTCAGATTGCTGAGTGGCACAGCTAGTCAAGACCACATAACACCAGTCCAGAGTAACTTGTATTGGTTGCTTATACATTTCTGAGCTGAATTCAAGATACTACTATTGACACACAGTTTGAATGACTTCATTTCTGGCACCAGTTTAAAGATGCATCTTTTTTACTCAGGCTTTTAGATGAAGTGAAGCAACATGACTTGTTGCTAGTTGTATGTTTTCCCTGTGGTATCATACACAGATTTTGAATTGTTTTAAAAGGTTTGTTTTTTGTGTATAAAACGGCTTTATGGTAACTGGTTAACACGATTCATGTTGATCTGTTTGGTTTTATGTTATCTGAAGTTCAAATTTATAAATTATAAAATTATAACTATATAAAATTATAAATCTATAATTTGATTTGTAAACCTCCCCATCATAGAGGTGACGCTCCCCGCACAAGAACGCTGCCAAAAGTGTTTATCTCTGCTGACTTTTCACGAGATGAGCATGCATTTTAAAATGCTCTTACCCCGCACATCAAAGTCCAGCAAGTGAAGAGGGGTAAAAGCCTTTTAAAATGTGTCGCTCACTGTGCTGGCTACCCATATGCCTTATGGTCACTTCCATGTAAAGGAGCTGCAACATAAACCCTCATTTAAGCCAAAATCAAGTATAAAATTGCATCAGTTTCTTCCTGCGACTCACTTTCTGTGTCTCGCAGTTTGGCTCGCAGCTGTGGTTCATAAAACGAGAGCAGTTTCCTTTCTGGGTGGCATCTATTATCTGAAAAGGAAAACATTTGTTTGTATCTCTTCATTAAAAAAATGGAGCCTGACCCATATTCAAAGACTTTCTACAGGGTTTCAACTGGAATTCTGTCTGCTTCAAGTGTTGTTAGGCCACGCTGACGGAGAAAATGACGGTATCCTTATATAGAACTAATTCAACGTACCGTATTTTTCACCCTATAGGACACACTTTTTCCCCTCCAAAAATGGTAGCTTCGAGAACACTATCCAACCATCTCGTCCTCCGTCGTCCCCTTCTCCTTGTGCCCTCCATCCTTCCCAACTTCAGGGTCTTTTCCAGGGAGTCTTCTCTTCTCATGAGTGCGTCCTATGGGGCGAATGCAGGCTTTCGCTGAAGCCTGGAGAGCGAGGGGGGTCAGTGCGCACCGACCCCTCTCGCTCTCCAGGCTTCAGGAAGCTATCCGCTAGCCGTGGGAGACGCAGCTCTCCCACGGCTAGCGGAGAGCTTGCCTGCACCCAGAAGCTTGGGGCGCGCTGAGCTCAGCACGCCCCAAGCTTCGGGCTTCGCTCCGCTAGCCGTGGGAGAGCCGCGCGAAGTCGCACAGCTCTCCCACGGCTCGCGGATAGCAGCCTGTTCTGGGGGCTGGGGTCAGGGGAAGCTTGGGCTTCCCCCGCCCCAGCCCCGCACCTGGGGGGGGGGATAATTTTTTTTCCTTTATTTCCCCCCCCCAAAAAACTTAGGTGCATCCTATGGGGCGAAAAATACGGTATGTTAGAATTTACTCGTATTAGCAGTAGCCTGCAACTTGAAAGGATCACAAGCCCCTCTGTAGAAGTTGTGGGGCTTTCTTTATAGTGCACAAAGTACAGCAGTAGGCGAGAGAGAAAAAACGAACAATGGGTTCACACATGCACAGTGAACTCTGAAAGTACTCGGACAATGCACAGCCTAAACACTGAAAACGATTTGTAACTCACCTCATCGTTTTTCAATGCCATGAAGTAGTAATGGATATTCTTGCTTCGGGCATACTCCTTCACTCGGGTTTTGAACTCTTTGTGATCGAGCACTTCACCACAGTATTCCAGTACAAAAGTGTTGCTAAGTAGGCCCAAGAAAGAAAGAAAAAAGCCTTAGACATAGCAGCAACCTGGCTTGGACCTGTAATACATTAAACAATCTGAATCTGGAATATTTTAGGGACTGCCTTCCTCCAAATAGGAAACTAACCTCCTGAACTCTGTGATCTGCTAGAAAGGCCCTGCTCAGAGCTCCACCTCTTAGTGGTGCTAGATTGGTACCCACTACGAACGGGGCCTTCCTGGTGGTTACTTCAACAATGTCAACTTTCAAAAAGTGGCCAAGAAACTCTCTCTTTTGCTAAGGTTTGAGGTTGTTTGCCAATGATCTGCCGTCAACCAGGCATGCTTCACTTGGAAAAAAAACATCTAATTTTGCCTTGTATTCTGTAATTGTATTATTTCTTTTTATCAAGCATTTTGGAGATAGATCTGAAAAACAGTATATAAATACTGTTGAGAAATGACTAGACACTAATTAGAAAGAAAACCACGATTGAACCAAAGCCAGGGAGTTTGAACAATGCTGGGCATAGTTGTGTGTTAATTTTAAAACAGGGGTTTCACTTAACTTATTAGTCAGAATAAACAGTACTGGCTTAGATGGACCAACAGCCTGATGGTAAAACAGTTCCCATGTGTTCAATAAAAAAGATGGCATTTGCAAGAAGCATACATCATGGCTCTCACCTGCAGCTTCTGAGTCCTGTTAATAAGCTCCAGGCTCTACCCACACATCAGCCTAATTTGGACTGAATACAACACAGAGTGTAACACCCCTGGAACGTGGCATCACCCTGTTTCTCCTCTACGCGGCCTAGGACCCTCGTACCTACGGGACCGCCTCTCCTGGTATGCCCCGCGGAGGACCTTAAGGTCCACAAATGACAACATTTTGGAGGTCCCAGGTCGCAAGGTGGTCAGATTGGGCTCAACTAGGGCAGGGTCTTTTCAGTACTGGCCCCGACTTGGTGGAACGCGCTGTCCCAAGAGACTAGGGCCCTGCGGGACTTGACATCTTTCCGCAGGGCCTGCAAGACAGAGCTGGTCCGCCTGGCCTTTGGTTTGGACTCAGTCTGACCCTTAGGTCTCCCTCCCCTTCTGGTTTTGATCTATGGGCTATTATTAAAATGAGGCTGCATTTTAAATTGTATTTTTAACCTGTATTTTAAATTTCCCCCCCCCCCAATTATGTTTTTATTTTAATTTTACTGGTGTTAGCCGCCTTGAGCCCGTCTCTGGCCGGGTATAAATAAAATTTTATTATTATTATTATTATTACTATTATTATTATTATTATTACTGCCTTGCCTTCTCCTGGGGAGGAATATGAAGGTGTTCTGTTTGATCCTGCTGGTCTTTGGCCTATGACCAGCCTTCTCCTTCCCAAAAGGAGTGTGTGTGCACACACACACATACACTATGGTCCTGGACATCCAACCGGTCCATCTGCAGAGCACATCCTAACAGTGCATTCATTCACTGGAACAGTGGTACCTCGGGTTACATACGCTTCAGGTTACATACGCTTCAGGTTACAGACTCCGCTAACCCAGAAATAGTACCTTGGGTTAAGAACTTTGCTTCAGGATGAGAACAGAAATCGTGCGGTGGCGGAACGGCAGCAGCGGGAGGCCCCATTAGCTAAAGTGGTGCTTCAGGTTAAGAACAGTTTCAGGTTAAGAACGGACCTCTGGAACAAATTAAGTACATAACCGGAGGTACCACTGTACATGGGAAAGTGCTGACCCATATGATGCTTATAGCTATTCCAAAGGCAAGGGAGGGGGAACAGCCTCCCTCTGCAAAACCCCTCTGCTGGCCAGAATGAAACCTTCCCTGCTGCCGTGCCCAAGAGGGGAAAACTGCTAAGGTGGAGATCCTTTAAAACGAGGGGAGTCTTACGAGGGTAGGTCTTTTGCTGCTCTCAACCCCCAGCCTTTCTTCTCGGTCAGAATGACTTCAACATCTGCATGCTGCTTCCTCTGAAACCGCCGGTTGGAGCAGTAGTCCCCATTGGGGCACCTTGAGGAACTAAGCAGAAGGAAAAATTATGTATGGGTTAGTAACCATGTGGATATTCACTGGCCTGCTTGTAGCGGACACTCTATAAATCGCACACACGTTTCTCTAAGGAAGCACAACAAATCCTACAAGCCTCAGATTTTGAACTGAGGTACCATGATGTAACCGTACTCTCAGATTAACAAACATTCCGGCATTTTTCTAATAATCATTAACATTTGTATCTATTCAGCATGCAAACTATTTTAGAAGTCTTAATGCGTCTGTTAAGCCAATGTATGAACATCACATATAACATAACAGTAATTATCACATTCAAATCTAAGATCTATCACATGACACGAAGACCCAAAAGTTTTGCTATAAAGAACCATTAGGATCCAAGGAGATCTAGTACATTGGTCAAGACCCACATGGACCTAAGGTGGGGGTCACACAAGGGTCTTCTTGTCTGATAGGTTAATTTTTTTGAGAAAAGGAGAAAAATAGAGAGAACAGCCAAAGAGGAAGATAAAAAGGAAAGAAAATAAAGACACAACTGTTGGGAAAAATGAGTCAGATTGGGGGGAAAAGGTGAGTCCCAGGTCTACTAGAACTACTGTTCTAGTAATATTGCCTCTCCTATCCAGATAGAAACTTCACACCAAAATGCCTAGGAGACCATGGGCCTGGTTCTTCCTCAGGTGAGAACTCCCTGAAGTTCTTTCACTTTAGATGAAAGCTTAAATAATAGACTGGCCCTCTGTTACAAAAAAATAAAAGAATCCCTGCACATGTAACACTTGCACACAAAGAGAAAGTGGTTTAGAAACCTGCTCCCTAACATTTAATGAGGTTTCCGCCAACATGATGACCTCCGAATGATGTTGCACTGGAATGCTCATCAGCCGCAGCCAACATTACTAATAGTCAGGTCTGATGGGAGTTAAGAGTTATATAGTCCAAAACATCTGGAAGGCACCAGATGGGGAGGAAAGCGGAGCTGGTTTATAAAGCAGAGTATTCCACCATGGGTGATTCCCATTCCCCCCCCCCGCGGTCTGAAGTGGTAAAGCCCAGACATGGGTTTATCATCCCAGTCAGACTTAAGAGAGGATGACAGAGAGGTTTTGCCCAAATAGCAAGTTTTAAAGAGGCATTTGAAACAGCTTCCCTTTGCCGGTTGAACTAAATTGAATTCCAGAATCCTCCAACAAAAGGAAAAGAATGCAACTATCACACTGTATGTACTTTTAACCCTGATATTTCCCTCCATCCTGACTTTAAAAAACTCCAGTACGCTAGTACCAATAACTTGGTACTGAATAAATTTGAGTGTTTCTGTTTGAATGATGACAGAAGACTACTATAAGCACTTTTTATCTGCGGTATGGAAAATGTATCACTGGGAAGCAATATATTTGCATAGAGATTTTACTTTCTTGGGCTCCATGATCACTGCAGATGGTGACAGCAGCCACGAAATTAAAAGATGCCTGCTTCTTGAGAGAAAAGCAATGACAAACCTAGACAGCATCTTAAAAAGCAGAGCCATCAGCTTGCCAACAAAGGTCTGTATAGTTAAAGCTATGGTTTTCCCAGTAGTGATGTATGGAAGTGAGAGCTGGACCATAAGAAGTCTGATCGCCGAAGAATGGATGCTTTTGAATTCTGGTGCTGGAGGAGACTCTTGAGAGTCCCATGGACTGCAAGAAGATCAAACCTATCCATTCTGAAGGAAATCAGCCCTGAGTGCTCACTGGAAGGACAGATCCTGAAGCTGAGGCTCCAATACTTTGGCCACCTCATGAGAAGAGAAGACTCCCTGGAAAAGACCCTGATGTTGGGAAAGATGGAGGGCACAAGGAGAAGGGGATGACAGAGGAAGAGATGGTTGGACAGTGTTCTCAAAGCTACCAGCATGAGTTTGACCAAACTGCGGGAGGCAGTGGAAGACAGGAGTGCCTGGGGTGCTCTGGTCCAGGGGGTCACGAAGAGTCGGACACGACTAAACGACTAAACAACAACACTGATAGAGGGTTACATTTTAAGGTATGTTGCCCTCCACCCCTCGATATCTATGTTGCAATTTATCCCAGATTTTCGGAAAGAGGAAAACATGATCTCGGCATTTATAATACACCTTTTCATTATGCTCAAAGCTGCTTACAAAGAACATAAGCTTTACAAGTAGCAAGGCAATCCAAACCAGTCTTACATTTCCTCCAAGCAGTCACTTCTACAACAGAAGCAGATTCACTTGACTGTGATCAACAAGAACTCACAACGGAAGTGCGGTGTGCCTGCTGTTTTCAACAACCAGAAAGATTATTGCGTTTTACATCAAAACCTCTTTTCCCTGTGCTGTGTGTCATGATGTGGGTGGGTGATGACAGCAGCAGACTAACCTTCAAAAGGACCCTTACCATTCTATCATGAGTAGACGATTAAGACAGTCTTCTCCACACGCCACCTCTCCTTGAGCTCGCTCATCTTTGGAAAGCGTGGGACATTCACACAGCATCCGCTTGATGTCACGGTGAGATTTATTCTTTTTCCTATGCAGCATTCCAGAAAACAAACTTTAAAACTGACCGCATTATACCAGCTAGAACTGAAGAATTTATCCAAAATAAAAGTACAGCAAAATGCCTTGAGGCAGTACAGATGTTTTGAGAATTCCCACTGATTTGCCGCAAACCCAAGTCAAAACTGCAGTGGGATTGACACATCAGCCGACAGCATGAGTTTTTTGCATCTTGAAGAAATTCACAATTTCAGGATCCGGGAGCTAATTCAACCAAGTAGGTTTCCAACTCTCTTTTTTTGGTGGGAACAAAACTTTAAAATGTTTCTGGATGCCTTCAAAAGGCTTATAAACTAAGCAGGTGCTTCCAAGATTGTAACGCTTGAGATTTTTACAGTAGCCTTAACGTTTGCTTGCGTTAATATGGGATTATTACTCACTCCTACTGAACAGCACACTGAATATAAAACTTACTAATACAACATAAGGAGTATGTAAAAGGGCCAATACCCATTTTGGAAGGGGTCTTCCAACCCCAACTGGCACTCTAAACCAGCCTGATATACTAGTATGAACCACAACCTCATTTCCCCCTATTCTAATATTCTTACTGCACACTACAGTGGCACCTCCGGTTGCAGACAGGATCCATTCCGGAGATCTGGTAGGATCCCAAGGTTTCTGCAACCTGAGGACTGCTTCTGTGCATGCGGTGAAACCCAGTAAAAACCAGAGGGTTATGTAAACGGAGGTTTGACTGTATTATACAACAATTTTCACATTACATTTATGGCACGCTATTCCCACGTTAGCATAAAAGGCGTTTTTAAAAGTAAGAGGCCTATTACCTTTCCGTCAAATACACATTTTCTTCAATGAGGTCGAAGTAACAGGGCATTTTCCCTTGCTTGGCAAACTCTTTCCAACGCTGCGAGTCCCTGAAGTCTTCCATGAAACATAGCGGACGAGCCATGGAAGAGTCCTGAAGTATTGCTGGCAACCGCTCTCCCTCTGTCTTGACCTTCTTCCTTTCCCGGAAGTCGGCATCGCTCTCCGAGTCGCTCTCTAAATCCGTCCTCCTTTTCTTCAACGGTCCCCGCTCTTTCATGTCATTCTTATCCAAAACCTTATTCGCTTGCTCTTTCCTCACACTTGGGGCCATTGGCTCTTTAGTGGAGTTGCTGCTTATCTCATGGGCCTGCACCGAACCCTTCTCTCTAGGGTCACGTGACTGGAACTTCACTGACTGGTTGGGGAAGAAGGCGTGGCTTTCGTCAACCCAGCGGTCAACCTCTTCATACTCTTCATGGTCTTCTGTAAGCGAATCGGGAACCTGCCCTTGCATTTGCTCGTAGTTCATCTCAGAGGGCCTATTGGTCAACCTTGGATCCCAATAGCCATTGTCATGCCAGTAGTTATGAGGCCCAACAAATGTTCCCGGAGCTGGGGGGTAAACATAACCTGGGAAGATGCCATAGCTGCTATCAGGCTGTTGGTACGTACTGCTTGGTTTCTCTGGTTGGGAGAAATCCCACCCCAAGCTACTCAAGTCTTCTGCCGAATGGAAGCCATCCTCTCTGGAGAAATCTCCAGTTTCCATGGGCTCGCCATAACCAGACTTCCCCTGCCTGCTGTCAGGCTTGGAAACACTGGTCTGCAGCCTGGACATATTGTCAATCATTTCAAAGTTCTTGGATAGGTAATGCAGCTCCCCTTCTTGCGATACGTCAATCGATCGAGCCACAGACATGCTTTCAGTTAATATTGATCTTTCATCTGGGTTTGGCCTGTGAATAAAACCTGATGTCTGCTCTGACTGACTCGTACTGTCAACGCCATCGCTCTGAGGATGGGGGATACCAGGCCGGAGGTCTTCACTCTCTGTTCTGTTGAGCTCAGTAGATATCGCTAGCCTCCCTTCTGCGTCTCTAGAAGGCAGGTACTTGCTTTCATTTTGCAGGCCATTATTAAATCCCACGTCATCCGGCATTTCTTCACAGAATGGCCTGCTGGACTCTGGCCTGCCATCTTCCCAGTGATCCACATAGCGTCTGTTACTTTGGCTGTTCCGGGAGGAACAAGAACTGCTCTCCTCCATGGTTATGGTAGAATTCTTTGGAATGACCACAACTGACTGAAGGCGGTTCCTTGGAACACTGCTATCATCTGAATCAGAGTCCTCTGTGTCACTGTCATCACTGTCCTGTTCACTCACACTTTCAGCTGTGTCAGAATACTCTTCGTGGTGGATGGAAGTGAGCTCAGGGGTACTGCCTCTACTGTCACATCTGGGCACTTCGGCAGCAGTTTCTGTTTCTTCTACCGTCACAACAATATCGCAAGATGGGGACAAAGCGTCTGAAAATGCAGATCCTACCAAGGAGTCATCGCTTTTTTCATTTACCATCAAGACTTCAGGAGCGTGGGCCTTCAAGTCAGCATCTACAGTTCTTTCATCAAGGACCACAGAGTCTTCCTCGTCATCTGGCTCCTCTTTCTCAGAGTCTTCTGTTGGCATCTCTAAATAATAAGAGTGCTCATTTTTAAAAGGCGATTTTGTTTTCTCTACAACGGAATCAACATGTGAAACATCCAATTCAAGTGCTACTTCGGGACACTCCAAGAGTTCTTCCTCCTTTTCCTCCCCCAGAGTTGTCTCTGGGTGGGACAACACATTTTCGGAAGCCTGTTGATGCTGCGCAATACACTGATTGTCAAATTTCTCTTCCACGATATATTCTTCTGCAGAAGAATCTCTGACCGGGCTGCACTCTGACAAGCTGAAACGTCTAACACATTTTTCATCCTCATGAGCAATTTTTGACGGATTCTGATCTTCGACATCAGCGTATGTAAACTTTTCAGATGACTGAACATCCACAAAAGGTTCTGGAGTAACTGTTGCATTGGAAGGCTCAGCTTCAATTTCAACTTCTGAATAATACAAAGAAAGAGCTGCATCATCCGAAAGATAGCAGGAGACTGGATCTTTGGTTTTATCACAAGGATCTGTGAGATCATCCGCTTTATCTGCATGTATTTTAGAATTATTTACATTCACAATACAAGAAGGTACACAATCATATTCAGAGGGAATTGACTCTTCCATTTTTTCTTTAAGAAAACTGTTGGAGTCACTCAGGAGGACAAGAGAACCATCCGGATCGTGTCCTTTAGACTGATACACACACTGAAACCCATTAGACGGTAACTTACTCAAATTTGGACTATTGACTGGAAGTGGTGGCTCAGTTCCGTCTAAACTATCATCAGATGTTACAATTTCTTCTATTTTGGGGGCACGGAACGATGCCCTATCACTGGGCCTTCCTTCTGGGGATCCATTTATATTCAATTCTACTGGAGAACAAGTTTTTAACGATTCATGTTTTACCTTGATTACAGACTCCTCTTCCTTAATACTGTCATGGCTATCAATTCCTGCAAGTACATTTGATTTAGAAATAGGAGACATCTCTTTTGATTCATTTAACTTTTTGAAAATAGGTGAATCATTCAACTGATTTAACGGAGAAACAGTCCTTTCTGTTTCTGGCTTCTGTGCAATAGCAGTTTTCGTTTCACAGCTTTGTACACAAGACGCCTCCAAGTCTATACAATTAGACTGCTCTCTGGTTTCCTCAGATTCTGTACAACAGAAAGAACTTTTAAATTTCTCAGACTTTGGAGTAGATGTCTTTGAAGAGGAGGACTTGTGTCGGGAAGAACTTACACTGCTCTCTGCTTTAGAGTGGGATGTTCCCCTCCGATGACGCAGCTCATTGACGGGAGAGCACTTTTTTGATACGTCACTTTCTGAAGTCCTTTTGGAGTCCCTGTCTGATTTTGTAGGCTTTCCTTTTCTCTCTGAGTCAGTATGAGAGGATTCCAACTTGCTATCCCGCTCTGACTTTGAATAAGAAAAAGAGGTCCTAGAGTCTCTGTAAGATGAGGAATGGGAGGATGTACGCCTGGAGTCTGTAGACCTGGAGTATGTCCTCCGATACTCTTCTTCTGAATCAGAGCTTTCTCTTGTCCTGCTATCCACGTACGAACGAGAATACCGTGTCTTCTCTCTGTATGGTGAGCTCCTGTGGTACCTCCGGTCAGAGTCATAGTAATGTGACCGGTCAGATCTGGCATAGGAAGAACTGGTTCTGGAACCTCTCTCCGATCTAGAACGAGAACGGGATCTGCTTCGCCTCCTCTCTCTTTCAGATCTGGAACGGGAGGAAGAATACCTCGAGTCTCTCTCAGATCTGGAGGAGTAACTAGAGTATTTTTCATCCCTTTCAGATCTAGACCGTGACGAACTTTTCACCTGCTCTTCAGTTCTGACAGAAGTAGAGCTCTTCCGTGAATCTTTTTCCTTCTCTGAGCTTGTCGATATTTTAATCTCGTGAGATCTCTGACTTGAAGAGGTCCTCACGGAATCTTCATCAGATTCGGAACCTGGCAATGCTCCATCAGACGACTTCCTCTTGGAACTTTGTTTCTTAGAACTTTGAGAAGCACCCTTTGAAGCACTTGAAACGTCCTCCTCCCTCCCAATATGGGAATCTCCTTTCGCTGGGACTGGTTCTGCTTCTTCAGGAATAACCTGAGCTAGCTGTTCTTCGGAGCCTTCCAACACAGCATTTTGCTTAATGTTCAGTTCTAAAGTTTCCTGAGCTGCTTTCATGGAGGGCTCCTTTGCTATGCGGACAACAGTTTCTACAGGCGATGGCAACAGAGGTGCGGCTGCTGTCTGTACTGCTACTGGAAGTTGTGGCAAAATTTCTGGGGTTAGTACTGGTTTTGGCGCTGGTAGTGTTTGTGGAGGGGGAGGAGGGGGAGGGGGAGGAGGAGGAGGGGGTGGCGGCGGTGATGGTGGCAATTCCACAAATTCTGCTGGTCCGACAGTTGCTGGTGGCAGTGGCATGGCAGCAGCAGGGGGCGGCTTTGTTGTAACATTCAGCAGGTGTTTCTTAAAGTGAATCTTGCCCAATTCCACCTTAGGCTTTGGGGGTGAAAATTCCTCCACGACATCCGGATAATCCCCAAGATCCAGTTTAAATTTAGAGGCAAGGTCAGTTTGAAGAGGTGTGCCCAGGGAGCTTGGAGCCTCGTTTTGCTTGTCATTCCCAAGGCCGGTCAGAAATCTGTTCTGCAAAGTTTTCTTGGTTAGGCTGAAGCTGAAGGACACCTTTTGTCTGCCTTGTTCCTCAAGGTTAACTTTTGTCCGGGTGCCTTTGGGCAAGAAGCGGCTCGATGCGACTCCTTTGAACACTGTCCCTTTGACAAAGCCAGGTTTCTGCGCATTTTCCGTCTTGCCCTAGAAGACAAGAAATAAGCTGGTGAAATCATGGCTTTGAAAATTGTACTCACGTTACAGCAAGAAAGGGAAATACAAAAAGGACCAGAAGGCAAAAAAATAGGGGTGGTGGTAATTAGGGTCCTCTAACATAAAGAGTCATGAGTTGCTTAGACCAGTAGACAAGCTTAAGCTACCTAGAAGCCTTATTATAAACCTCGAAAAATATCACCTGGCACATGTTGGCCAGCTGCTAAGGCTTCCTTGTGACCCAGGTAATACCCCAGTAGCTCATTTTTTGACCACATCCCCACCAGGCACTGCCCCATCTTCCCTTCTTTCGGCAAGGTGTGGGGCAGCTGTGGAATCAAGGTGCGTCACCAAAAAAGCAAAGCCACAGAATACAAATTCTGAGCTGTATTCCGAGATTGCAGTGTGAACTTCACATTGGATTAGAACTGGACTAGTTTACCCTTGGGATCCTTTCCAACTCTAGAATTTTTATTCTATGATTGACTGTGGAATACCTTTCCTCTTAGACCCACCTGGTGCCAACCTTATTTGCATTTTTAGCAATTCTAAATAAGGGAACAAAAACTATGATGCCTCTCATTTGAGACGTGCCAGCCATATATTCTCCTTCCTTTCAAGCAACATGAAACTAAACAAAAGCTTAAAAACAGTTCAGCTGTATCCATTATAGCGTGTGCTTTTTTGCATGTATGCACAAAGACACACAGATGTATAGTTGTGTTGTATGAATATGTTAATGTTTTATATTCTCCACTCCAAGGTATAATGTACAGGCAACGCCCAATTGACGTGCGTCTAACTGACCATGCACACAAGCATCACACTGAACCTGAAAGTAACTTTAAAAAGCGGCTCTAAAAGACCCGGAAATGGGCAAAAAGGTGTGAAAACCACACCTAGCAATCCCTTGAGCCTTTGCAAGTGCAATCCCAGGAGCCCTTGCACTGACCATTCATTGAGGCCTGTGGAAAGTTGGAGTTTGAGCAAGGAAGTTGTGATGGAGTTTAGCATCTGGTTAAGTGCAGGTTTTTAAAAGGGTTTTACAAGGGTTTCCAGAGGTTTAGAGGGTGTTTGCAGGCCTTTTCAATTGTGTTTCAAATATACACGATTTCAGATAACCCCCGTGTAAACTGAGAGTTGCCTGTATGGTGGTACCTTGGTAGTTGAATGGCTTGGCTCCCGAACAAATCGGCTCCTGAACGCCGCAAACCCAGAAGTGAGTGTTCTGGTTTGCGAGCGCTTTTCAGAAGCCGAATGTACGACACGGCTTCCGCTTGAGTGCAGGAAGCTCCTGCAGCCAATCAGAAGCTGCACCTTGATTTTCGAACCATTCCAGGACCAGGAGCCAAACAGACTTCCAGAACGGATTAAATTTGAGAACCAAGGTACTACTGTATTTCTGTTTTTAAAAGTTAAGTCACTTGGAGAACAAATGGAATCATACTAATTCTTTTTCAAAAAAAAAGACACAAGGGGACGTAGTTTAGAATATACTCACATCATTTTCTTCTTCTCTGTTGTAGTCCATCAAGAAGGCATGCAAAAAACAGGACAGAGAAAGCATGAAAACTAAGTGGAAACACAAGGCGCTTGCTTTTCAGGTAAAATTGCTTTGCCTGTGCTGGCTACAGAGAGGGTCTGATCATTTATAGATATAAAAAAGGCATCACTGTTATAGACTTAAAAGGACTGTTTTCTCCAGGCTCCATTACATTTAGGCAAAAGGGGGATACTCTGGCATCTCATTCCTGCATCTAACAACCTGTTAAAACAAAATGGGAGGAATCTTAAGCTGTCTGCTTCCAAGGAGAATATAGCATGTCAGGGTCCCAGCAGTGCAGAATGTCTATCTTAAAGATATGTCTTACATCTCTTAATCCTTCCTGTGTTACAATTCATTGGGATTTTAGAAATAAGAATTGAGGCACAGGACTGTGTATGCCAGCCACCTCCAAGGAGGAAGAGGTATTTAATTTTGGAGAGAAATCATTTCCCAGAATTTTCACATTCAACATACATTTATAGGGTAAACCTTGTTAAAGCAAATTAAGCTTTCCGTTTTCAATTATTTTTCTTCTTTATACACCCCACCCCAACTCCCAACGTGTTCCGAATGATTCAGCTTCTACTTTTACTAACAAATTAAGGTGGAGAAATCATATTTTCTAGCAGGAAGTGATGAAAAATAAGGTATAATAGTAAAAATAACAGAAAATCCATATAGCGAAGGCACTGCCTCTTGCTCTTACACCCCAAAAGACAAATAGGTTATTTAGTGATCTTCATAGGAATATGATCTCCCATCACATTCATCACTAATTACTACAATTAGCACATTCTAAACCTCACAGCTCAGTGACACAGTACATATTTAGAATGAAGGACTCTGATTTCGATCACTGGACTCTCTAGGTAGCAAGTTCAATGTTCTATTCACCACATTCGTATTTTACTCCTCCTTTGTGGTTAAACCCTAGTCTGATTTAGTGCACATTGAATGGGTTTGTCTTCCACTGTATTGAGCAAATTATTTGCTTCTGGGTTACTACTGTAAAACTGCAGGAAAGATGCTATTTTTACATTTCATGCTTCAACCAATGGGAAGTTCTGAGATGGACATTCTAAACCAGGGTTTCCTAAACTTGGCTCCCCAGCTCTTTTTGGACCACAACCCCCATCATGCCTAGCTAGCAGGACCACTGGTCAGGGATAATGGGCATTGTAGTCCAAAAACAGCTGAAGACCCAAATTTGGGAAAGCCTGCTCTAAGGCATAAAAGCAGCTACGTTGGTATCTGTCTCCAGTGCAACCACAATCGCTCCAGGAATGTTAACACAAGCACTCCAATAAGACGCATACTAAAATATATATAAGTTATTTTAGTCTCCACCCCCATCATTTGGCCTGGACACCGAGGTCCTCGTCTTGTGGGTCTTCTGGCGGTTCACTCACTGCGAGAAGTGAAGATGCAGGGAACCAGGCAGAGGGCCTTCTCAGCAGTGGCATCCTCCCTTTGGAATGCCCTCCCATCAGATGTCAAAGAGATAAAGAACTGCACAACTTGTAGAAGACATCTGAAGGCAATCCTGTATCAGGAGATTTTTAACGCTTGACGTTTTTATTATGTTGTTAGATATGCTGCAAGTTGCTCAGAGTGGCTGGGGAAACCCAGCTAGATGGGAAATGAATAAAATAAATGAAAACAAAAATAATTAGAATTATTTTTAACTACTTTTATAAATGGAATTTTTTAAAAACGTTCCTGTGATTTTTAAACATGGAACAGTTTTTAATTGTAAAATCAGCATTTCTCAAAAACCATTTTCTCAAAACTGTTTTATTACTAAAGAACATCATCTGATGAAAACAAGAACACCAGAGCACGTACAACCCAGCAAAGTGACAAGCCTCCAAGCCAAGCCGTGGTGATTTGGTAGCTTTGGAAGCAAAACACATAAATGTCTCGTTGGGCTTTGCAGGCCCAGAGCAAGCCATTCAACAACAAAAGGCCAGCTCCATGCAAGAAGATAGCATTCAGTGAGTTAATAAATTCTATGGAAGATACTATACTACAAGCAGTACCAGCATCTCAACAGCATTTTCGATAGCTTCTGTTTTTCCTGCATGAAAACATTCCAAGATAAACATAAACTTCCACTGTTTTATGCCTTTCACACCTGCCAAATAAATAAATGCAATAAATAATTCCTGCTTGAGTACCTTCTTTAAAAAAAAAAAAACTTGACAGGGCTCCTTCTCTGTGTGACCGCAGACAGAAAGGGTTCACATAGTGACCAGGAAAACATAATGGTGTTACAGAGTCAGATTTGGCTTCGGGACTGTCTCCGAAAAACAAGATGAATCCCTCCCAATCTGATCCAACGTCTCAGAATGCACCTCTTCATCCACATGCTGCCGCAATTTCATGCAACGGGAGCATTTATCTGCTGCTTTAGCAACTGGGAGATGTTTCCCTTTTCTCACCAGATGCACATGCCCAGCGGTCGAAATTTGCCAGGTGCTATCGGCCACTTGTGGCCAAGTGAAGATGCCTGGGCGCCAGGATGGTGCCTGACGTCTCCACCATCTGGAGGTGCCTATCTGGGGATGCTTGGATCTCGACTCTTTTCACACACTAGCTACACATCCTGTAGAATCCCATCTGTTGCATTTTATCTGTGCAACCAGAAGAATTTCAGGAACCCAAAAGTCGTATTGAAAGATACGCCTTTCATGCTGCCTGGCCCCAAAATGGCAACTAGGCATTCCATTTTGGTGACTGTAACCCTGGTTTTTTATATGCCTGTTGTCTTTGTCCATGGAGTTTTCTTGGCAGGGATACTGGAGTGGCTTGCCGGTTCCTGCTCCAGGTGGATCACGTTTGGTCAAAACTCTCCACTATGACCTGTCCATCTTGGGTGGCCCTGCACAACATAGCTCATAGCTTCTCTGAGTTATTCAAGCCCCTTCGCCACAGCAAGGCAGTGATCCATGAAGGAGAGAAAGGCTCCTTGGGAGAAAGGCGATGACAAACCTAGACAACATCTTAAAAAGCAGAGACATCACCTTGCCAACAAAGGTCCGTATAGTTAAAGCTATGGTTTTCCCAGTAGTGATGTATGGAAGTGAGAGCTGGACCATAAAGAAGGCTGATCGCCGAAGAACTGATGCTTTTGAATTCTGGTGCGGGAGGAGACTCTTGAGAGTCTCATGGACTGCAAGAAGATCCAACCTCTCCATTCTGAAGGAAATCAGCCCCGAGTGCTCACTGGAAGGACAGATCCTGAAGCTGAGGCTCCAAGACTTTGGCCACCTCATGAGAAGAGAAGACTCCCTGGAAAAGACCCTGACGTTGGGAAAGATGGAGGGCACAAGGAGAAGGGGACGACAGAGGAAGAGATGGTTGGACAGTGTTCTCAAAGCCACCAGCATGAGTTTGACCAAACTGCGGGAGGCAGTGGAAGACAGGAGTGCCTGGTGTGCTCTGGTCCATGGGGTCACGAAGAGTCGGACACGACTAAACGACTAAACAACAACAACCCTGGTTTAAGGAGCCGTTTGGTGCCGATCTGATATATCTGAGTTTCTAACACTGCTCATGCAAACTGTTTCGCACAATTACACAAAGGCAGGCAAAACTTCACTAAACTTGTGAAGGAGGGGCAATTTCCAGCAGTGAAATGCAAATCCCTCCCCCCTTCAGCTAAAAAAAAAAGGAAAAGAAAGAAAGAAAGATGAAACGCTTGGTATTCAAATGGGGGAGCATGTACTACTCGATTGCTGGGAAGCAGCAGTAAAGATCCTCAGAATTTAACTGGCAATTTGAGAATGGTTGTCAATTTAAATATATACCCACAGCACATTACTTGCTCTTGTGAATCGATCCTGCATTGAAAATGACAGCATTATCCCTCAACAGTATCAGAGCTTCCTGTCATTGCTGTTTTTTCTTCCAACAAACTGTGAGCTAGTTGAAAGCGCAGTGAGGCCTACGACCAGCAGTGACCATCCTTCACTGACAGGTTTGGATTTCAAAAATACGGCAAAATGATGAAAGGAATATTGCAGGGAGATGAGATCGCCTTAGTCTGTCAGTTTGACGTATTTGCATGTTGGTTAAAAGTCATCTTCTCTCTGTCTAGGTGTAAACCTTTGGTTTGAATGGCGGGGGGGGGGGGGGCAATGCCCAGAGAACATTATACATGTTATGAAAGTCACAAGGTGCAACTACACTGACCACAACTCAAGCAGAATGACGTATGAAGATTATTTTCATGGCACTAAAGGTAAAGGTAAAGGTACCCCTGCCCGTACGGGCCAGTCGTGTCCGACTCTAGGGTTGTGCGCCCATCTCACTTAAGAGGCCGGGGGCCAGCGCTGTCCGCAGACACTTCCGGGTCACGTGGCCAGCGTGACGAAGCTACTCTGGTGAGCCAGCGCAGCACACGGAAACGCCGTTTACCTTCCCGCTAGTAAGCGGTCCCTATTTATCTACTTGCACCCGGGGGTGCTTTCGAACTGCTAGGTTGGCAGGCGCTGGGACCAAGCAACGGGAGCGCACCCCGCCGCGGGGATTCGAACCGCTGACCTGACGATCGGCAAGTCCTAGGTACTGAGGTTTTACCCACAGCGCCACCCGCGTCCCTAGCGCCACCCGCGTCCCTTCATGGCACTAGCATAGCTGTATTCCAGCAACACCCATGTTTTCTGGAAGAGGTTTCATCGACCGCTTACAAATGAAAAGGCATCACATAAATATCTCCCAGAAGAATTGTTTTTTGTTGGAGATAGATCATTCACCCGGAGTATTAAGGAGCATGTAGGTAACCAAAGAGGTAGTGGAACTAGGAGGCAGATGTTTCTAGATCAGGGGTCAGCAACCTTTTTCAGCCATGGGCCGGTCCACTGTCCCTCAGACCTTGTGGGGGTCCGGACTGTATTTTGGAAAAAAAATTAATGAACGAATTCCTATGCCCCACAAATAACCCAGAGATGCGTTTTAAATAAAAGCACA